TCACCGTTTTCTTTTGAAAACTGAAATAATATATGTGTCACTGACGTAAACATAAAAATCCAAGCAAGTCGAAAAAGTTGTTTGGCCTTCTGAAGGGCTTATATGAAACTTATGCTATAAGCAATTACTGTAAAACGTTATAGCTTGGTAGTTAGGGCGCTCGACTCGTAATGTGCGGGTTATGGGTTCGAATCCCACGTCACATAATATGCTCACTCTTTCAGCCGTGGGGGCGTTATAATGTGACGGTCATTCCTTCTATTTGTTGGTAAAAGGGTAGCCTAAGAGCTGCCTTCCCTCTAGACTATCACTGCTAAATTAAGATCGCAGATAACCATTGAGTAGCTTTGCGCGATATTCAAAACAAGTAAAACGTTATATGTATACTCTTTAATAGCACAACACAGTGATATGTTACTTTCTCAAACGAGGAAGTATTACCTGATTTTTAAATACTGTTAAACTCCAATTTGATCGCGAGATTTATTTCTCTATAACAAATATAGAAGTTGTTGGCTGCAACACTTACCTAGTGGATAATTAATTTTATTGTTTTAACACACACACATATATATATATATATTTGAGTTTGCTTGTAGATATTGAATGTTTTACACTCAACGTATTTTAACTGTGTTAATGAACGTTAGATTATAAGATGTAGTTTATTTAATGATATGATTTCCAAAATATTTCAACTTTCATAAGAATCATTCTACTTTGTTGAGTTCAATGGGAATTGGCTACTAAGTACTCATTGCATCCTTGAAAGATATATAGCTAATATGTTATGTAACTATTAGTCTGCGCTGGATTACGAATGTAGACTTGGAGATTTTTAAGGGTTATATGTATAGCAAAGTAATAAGCTTTTAGTGATAAACCGGTGACAAGATTTTTGTTTAGAAATATTTAAATGGGGGTTTCTAATTTTAACTTTAAAGTGAATTATTTATATCTGTAATACGTTAATTGCTTAAAGCACTGCATTCGCTAATTTCATCAGGTTGCTGTTGTACTACTTTCAGTTCTAAGTCGAGTTTTACCAAAAATTACAACGGTACCAAGTTACCAAATGCAATGGACTAATAACCATTATATGATACATTCAAAGCGTTAATTCTCTTAAAGGTTAATTAGAATTTTTGTAGACATAAGTGCTTTCGAAACTTTTAAAGCTCAGGCGTTTTGATTGTAGTTTATTTTACATATTGTCTTATTACTAGGTATGACCATTGAGGAAACGGTACGTGTAGAAATATGATGCTTTTGAAAAACTAGATTGCTATTTATTTATTTTAAGCTCGTAGATAGCAGTTTCATTGTTAATAACATGTATAAACATCAAAATATGTCCCTATTCCGCACTCGTTTCTTAATAACCTTAATGGCTTCAATTCAGAGAAAACTTGTTGCAAATTTTACGTTATTGTGGTCAGTTCTCGCAAATAAATAAATATATGTAGATATTTTAGCGATAGAGATAGTCTTTTACTCAGTCTTTAAGTAGTTATACAACTCAACGCCTACAGACAACCCTTCGTCCAGTCTTTAAATATTTATACAAATCAATGCCTACAGACAACCCTTATCTGGTCTTTAAGTATTTATATAAACCAACGTCTACAGACAACCCTTTATCCAGTCTTTAAGTATTTATACAAATCAACGCCTACAGACAACCCTTTATCCAGTCTTTAAGTATTTATACAAATCAACGCCTACAGACAACCCTTTATCCAGTCTTTAAGTATTTATACAAATCAACGCCTACAGACAACCCTTTACCCAGTGTTTAAGTAGTTATACAAATCAATGCCTAAAGACAGCTCTTTATCTAGTGTTTGGTTTGTTCCTCACGTAATTTGTATTGGATAGTAGCGATTGCCAAATGCCTATAGACTGTTCTTTTGGGATAAGATATGAAACGTTTATTCAGTTATATTTCTAACCCAATAGAAGGATAGAATGTCCCTTCATCCTAGAACCTGGATGCTACGCTTTATCACATCACATGCCTTAGAATTGCCGTAGTCAATAGAGCAATCGATTTTTTGATCATTAAAGAAATGACGTTGAAATCTCAGCCTTGGCAAACTCTGGTAACATATATACTGCACATTTTATTTGGTCTGTACAGCGTATTAAGCTCTTTTACAAAGTATTTCAAATAATTCCTATATAGCCAATTATGTTTTAAGTGTGTGATTGTTTCTTAAAAATGATATATTCTTATTAGGAAAATACAATAGTTTTATCAAGTTTCTGATAACTCGGAAAACAACATTGAAAGAGAAATGAAATTCAAATTATAAATTTAATTATTGCGTTTTTTATTACAAGATATATGGCCTTGTTAAAAGTACTGTAAATGGAAAATTCTCTGCTATTCAATAACGTAAGCAAACTTCACCGATATATAGTACTTTATATTTAGAAACAATATTTTTATGAAACCTCCAACTGGGATTAACTAGAAAAACAGCGAAAGTTTCAATTTTCTTAACAAAATTACATTTTAAAAATAAAGTTAACACGAAAGTGTCATTTCGAACAACTCTCATCTTATAAATTGTTTTTATTGTGTGTTGTATTTTTCTTTATAAATGATTAAGCGAAATTCAGACTTTCGAGAGAGAGACTTCATAAAAATGCATACGCTCGATGTAGTGTCAATTATCTTAATGCAATACATGTTTTTGATTACCATTTATATTACTTAGCTGAGCAGTATTTCTATTTGCTGTAATAGAGAGCTCAATTTCCATAGCAACCAGTATTTTTGAAAAACATGTTGAAGTGGAAGCGTTACTGGTTCCTGTGGATTCTTGTTGAATACGTTCATTCAGCATTTTTCAAATCTTTTCTGTGATAGATTTTATTTGCTGTTTTGACCCTCTTATGTGGTTTTTCAATCGAAATTATTCAGATTCAGTAATGTTTCATCGGTCTTTTTTTATTCTAGTTCTCATTGATAAGTAATTTTGTAACTTCTCTTTGTCCTGTACAAGTAAAAAATAAAATGTTATTAAATACCACATATATTTAGATAGCGCAAAAGAGATAGAGAATAGGTTTTTGAATCGAATTTTGTGTGGTTTCATATTCATTTCAAAAGGATACAAAGTTGACCGGTTTTCTCAAAATAACCTCTCTTTATAAAGACTTCATGAGATATGTTTCAAAATTCACTCTTTTCCACTACCACCCAAATGCAGAAGTGTATCGGTTGCACTTCTCTCTCTGTCACCTCATGTGACAAAATATAAGCACTGTTATGTGCATAGTCTTGAAATAGGTGTTGCCCCGCCCCAGATTTTTTATTCATTTTTTTATGAAATGAGTTACTCAGTACAGTACAATACAGAATATGCAGGAATACTCAATAGGAAGAAAAATCTAGTTTTTGTACAATAAACAACGTAACTAAGCACATAAAATTAATTCTGTTGCAGCTCCCTCCCCACTCCCTTCTCCCAAATGAAATTAAGACCAACAGATGATTAATATTTATAAATGAATTTCCTACTATCTTCCAGTCACACTGAGGAGCCAGATAGTTAAATATCGTTATTTGAAATATTTTAATGGTAACTTCCGACTCTCCAGAAGACCAATGTAGGACAGTGTAATCGCTCCGGATCTAAAACACGTGCAAACTGTGAAGAGAAACGTGTATTTTATCGTCATAATCACATGGAGAATAATTGGTAATACTCTTGTACAAACACAGTATACTCTTATGACGATATCTATATGTAGTTTCTTCTTATTTACCTTTCGATCTTCAAAGCAATTTATTTAGATAAAAAAAATGTACTTTGTATTCATTCTAAGCTGATTGTTTAAATATTTTTACGACACATCAACTTTGTTGGTGTTCACACTCATTCACATGTATATTAAGTAAACTCTACCACAAAGTAATTTAACTCAGGAAAGCTTGCAAATAGCATCTCACGACAACTCTTTTCAAACTCTGCTTAAGATTATCCAGATAATTGATTTTTGTTATTTAACTTAATAATACAATATGAAAAATAAATGAATATTTAAACTAACTTAAATATTATAGTAGGTAAGGGAAAATTAATGTACACCATACATTTTGTTGAAAAACCAGAATTGTGTTTCTTGAGTGGTGAAATATAATTATAAACATATAAATTAGTATATCAGTTTTAATGAAGAACATTCTACACAACCAGAATACTTCGAATATTCTAATATAATGTAAATACACAATATCGTGTAAACTAATCTAAAATAACATTCAGATCCACTATTAGGAAACAACAAGTATAATTGGATACATGTTTCGATATTTTTATGGAAGTGTCGAAACTTGTATCCATGTAAACTTGTTGTTCTCTAATGGATCTAAATTTTATTTCAAATTCGAATAATGTTTCAGTATGAATATCAACTCACTGACTCTCTTTTTACTATTGAAACGGCACACGTATTACTCGCCTGTCTTTCTCCTCATTAGGCATTCATTATCCACTGAAACAAAACAGCTTTGCAAGTTTAACTATTCTTTTTTATATTCGACTTTTTTATTCAGTAATTTTTTTATTGTTTGACCTATGCAACATTTTTACATAACTTTAGAGACCTTTTGTATTTTTGACTAACAAATATGTTAGAGCTTTCTCTCCTCTACCTTTTTTACCAAAAGCTTCCAATTTTTTCTGTTCAATTATAATATCATAGTTGCCTGAAAATTTGTACTAAGTTGTAGGAGCGTCATTTCCCAAAAGACGTTGGGGGATGGGGGTGGGGGTGGAGCAAAAAAATAAATATTTCATAAATATTTTTGTTAGTTATATTAGAAGCTAAGAATCAAACTAATCCTCTTAAATATAATTTCAGCCTGGTTTGTTACAGATGTTTGTCGATATAGAAAGTTAGCCTCTACCTTAGGATTCTATTGGTTTCCACATGATAAGGATGAAATTTATGTTAAGAAAATCCACTAACACATCTACTATTTTCAGGATGAACAACCCGAGAGCGACATTCAAGAGAAATAGCATGAAAAGGAGATGGCTGATGGCATAATATATATAAAAAAAAAGATTAATTCATATAGAAAAGGGAAGAGATCCGTTTTTTGACTGTCCCTTCCAGGTGTTCCGTTTAGAGAGCTTCTCCAAGGGATTCATGAGAACAGAATCTCTTTACTATGATATCAGGATTTTGTCGTGGTTTTCGAATTAGTTCTTTAGCATCAAAGTCAAAACCTATTCAATGAAAACGAAACATGCAGTTATATTATCTTTATTTGTTATTTTTTTAGTGGAATTGCTTCGATTTTGTTTATATTGTATTCATACATAAAAATCGTTTAATGTATTGGCAAAATTCATTCATTCATTTTACTTTGTTTCGTACACATGTTAAATGTGATTTAAACACCTTGACAGAGAATTATTACCTTTAGTATTCATTATTTTCAACTATGATCTCAATTATTATTATATGTAAATTCTTTTGTGATAATATGTATGTAATGACGACTGTATGGTATATATTTTAAAATCTATTGTTATATGTAAGGTTGGTGTTTTCTTCATTTTTATTTTTGTTCTGTTGTTTCGTTACTTACGTTTGATCATTTACTGGAATACGAGTTCTTCATCAAAATAACTGAGCCAGGACAAGTCAAAGACCTGTCTTTAAGCAGCTAAATTTAAAAATGTGATAGGGAATTATAATTTCCCCGTTAAATGTCCTGGTACCGAAAACTAATAAAAACTGTTTGTTTCCTTGTTAAGCGCAGAGTATACAAAGGCCAACAGAACTGTGCTCTCCGTAGGTATCGAACCTCGATTTTTAGTTTAATAAAGACAATTTAAGCATTAACACATTCTTAATGTTTTTCTCCTATATTGTAAGAAATTAATATTTTCTCTCTAATGGTTACCTCATTTTTTGAATATTAAACAAATCCATCTAATTATTGTGTAGTGTGGACCAGAAAAATACGTAATAAAAGTTTTGTTTCATGACCCAATTACTTCCATGTTTTCGTGCACTAATATCTATTAATAGGACAATGAATATAGTTACATGAACAAGAAATAAAATCACAAATACATATTGTGAAACATGTAATAAAACGCATTCCTGAAAGCCTTGAAGAATACATCTTTCAGCATAAAAGTTTTAACATTCTCTGAGCACAACTTGAAACTAACCTATTGATTTGTCAGAATTCTGAAATAAGTCTTATTTTTTTCTAAAACCGCACATATTATAACAAAATAAATGTAACACATAACGCGTTAATAATAAAAACACTGAACAATTTCAAAATTTTCTATTATTAGGACTGATTTTTATCTTCTACACATTTTTAACTTGTGAAAGTCAACTTAACATTAGGTATATCGTATCGTATTACATTCATCATCCTACGACTTATAAAGCTTTATTCAAAATTATGTTTTGCTTAAGATTGTATTCCACAACTGAAATAGTCTTGTATTTTTCAACGTTAATTTCTGATCAAGGTAAGCTACCTACATAGATCGGAACTAAAAATATGCACTTAATAATAAGCATGGATACTTAAATATATTGTTCAAACTATATTACTTACAATGATTAGAATGCACTGTTTCACCAGGTATGTACCTTCACTGTTAACTGTATTGTTTTGCAAGTTTTGTTTGTTACAACGGGATATCGAGACTTGATTTTTAGCGTTATAAGCTCTCAGAGTTAACAGCTGAGTCACCGTGGGGCAAATTTATAAGTAAGAACTGTATATTAAATTACTATAGTTGTTATTACTTGGTTAATTTCTCATCTCAATAGATAATTTCCTTTCATTAGAAGTGAATGGTATTTAGAAATCAAGCTGAGGCGTTTTCAGGGCTAGTTTGTCATTATTACATGAACCCATACTTTGAAAGAATCACTATGTTGAAGAAGAAAAACTTTAGACTAAAATATATTTAAAGCTGCTTTTCTTTACGAGTGTCAAAAATGATAAAAGGAAAGAACAAATTAAAAGATACTGTTCGTTTGAATCATGAAAGTTAAATTTGTTTGTTTTGTTGAATTTCGTGCAAAGATACTCAAGAGCTATCTGTGCCAACTGTCCCTAAATATGAAGTGATAGACTAGAAGAAAGGTAGCTAGGCAACACCACCCACCGCCAACTCCTGGACTACTGTTTATCAAGGAATAGTAAGATTGACCGTCACATCATAACGCCCAAACGGCTGAAAAGGCACGATGTTCGGTAATGTCTTTTGATCCCACGACCCGCAGGTTTCGCGTGGAACGCCTGATCCAACAGAGTATTCCAAGTCTGAAAGTTAAGTTCGAATGAATCATGGAGAATTATATATATGTATATAATATTAGAGACTGAGTGATTAGTTCAATCGCCTAATGAATACATAGCTAGTTTCGCCGTGATAGCTGAAATACATATATTACACCATTCGTTTTTCAAAAAAGTCAATAAATGAATACAGCCTCTGCTAACAACTGTCTACATTAAACTCTAATTTTCAACAACCTTATAAGCCGGTTTTGCAAAAAAAGAGATTAATTAAGTTAGGAAAATAAATCTAAAACCTCTACTCTAAATCTTAAAACATTTTGTATTTGTCTCAAGACATTAGTATTAGGCCTATTACATTTTTAAACACCACATTCTTACCAATTTTCAAGAACTAGAAAAAATGTATAATAGTATTCCAACCACACTATATTTGCCATATCTATTGCTGACAACGCGTTTTGCACAATCGAGCGCTCTACAGGGCTACAACAAAGACAATAGTGATTGGAACACTATTTATATATGTCATTTGATACAATAACAATTGTCATGGTGTGTACATCTTTTACAAGCCGACGAAGAATGATTAAAACTGTGTTTGTAATATTAGGCCTAATACTAACTAATTTTTTATGACAAATATAATCGCAATCATTCTTCGCTGGCTTGTAAAAAGCATACATACAATAATATCTTATCTCCTCTTAAGTGTCTTCGGCATTCTAGATATAATATAAGGAATTATATGTGTGTGATAACGAACTGCATATTGAGTTTTCAACTAAAAACAACGTTGTTTACCTTTCAAGTCTTTGTTATATTCTTTGTAACAGAATATTTCTGAAATATATAAAATATTATTGATATATGAATTATTCGATGTATGCTGATTGTTATATATTTCGTTGGCCTTTCAAGATTTCTCCTGGAATTCTGTATTTCTCTTGACTTATTTTGGCAGTGACCATTCGCTCTTTCTCCTGACTTAGTGAGATTGTGGATAGTCTTCCTTTCTTCTGACTTTTTGAGATCGTGAAAGTTTTTCCTATCTCAAGGCTTATGGAGATCATGGAAGTTCTTTCTTTCTACTGACTTATTGGTATCGTAAAAGGTCTACCTTTTTCCTAACTTATTGAGATTGTGAAGATCGTAATTTATTCAAAAAGTCAAAAATAACACTGAAATATTTTAATACTTTAATGTAACACACAAGCCACATATACATTACCTCAATTCTCTCTCCCTTAAAGATAAAATGGCTACAAATTACCCTTGCTAATTCCACAACTTTCAATTAGTGGCAAGTCTAACATGGAACACTTAATTAAAGAAGGTCTATCAATAAGTAAAAAAAAAAAAAAAAATCGACACACACTCTCAACAGCAGCAGTGGTTTTAAAATATGTATTTTACTTTATTCTGACTATTTTACTGTTATTTATCTCCTTTTTTAGCTATGCAATTTTAATTGCCCACATTTCATGCACGTCATAATTGGCTTTCTCTGTCATAATGCTTCTAAGCGCAATGATTTTGTTCTTTACACAGAAAACTGGATTATGTATAATGCGGCCCAACTCTGAAAGGTTTGTTCTCACCTTCGTCTTGATCTTCTTGACGTATTAAGAGCAAGACTTTCACACCATAATTAAAATATATATCATATCTTGACGGGAAATTTTTATTTCATATGGCTTAAGACCAACAGTTTAAAACAAAATGTTCTTGTTTTTTGTCGAGAGCGTGATTAGTTGCAGATATACACTCTTACTCCAATGACAAGCATCTTATACTTTTAACAACAAAGACTAACCAATGAGGAGTAGTTCAGTGTCTGGATACTTTTATGTCCTTTTGTTCGTTTTTGTATCTTATTGTCTGAAAACCTTCAGATTTACAGGAAACAAAGTCTTGGCGCCCAACCGGCTAGCCACAAGAAATTTAGAGAACACATTTAATATAGTTGTTAAAAAAACAACATTTTAAAGAAGTTATACGAATGAAGCAGTTTGATCAATATATTGATGTACACTAACAGAGACTTTAAAGGTGACATTTCCACAAGGAGAAACGCCAATAGTGGTCATGGTCATAAAGTTTCAGCAAATATTTGGAAAAGGATTCGTAGAAGAGACAGTAACACATATTTGTTTTATTATAATTTCGTGTATTTCTGGCAAAAACTTTAAATTTTATGGATTTTCCAGCTAAACTCCCATACATTATCATGTACTTAATGCCAGTATGATTACCCCTGAAACAGTAAAAACAAAATTAAGAAGCTGGCTATTTGTTAAATAATGTTACAAATTTGACAAATTAAAAAAATTTATATTGTTTCACTAGACAATTACTGAACAAAAATTGTTAATATAGTATTGTGCGGTTATTTCTTCAAAACTACATTTGTATCTTAATTGTGATATCCTTATTGTGACAGTTGAGAGTGAAAGGCGTTTTAGTGAAGAAAAAGAGCTTATTTTCTTTAGTGTGACATTCAAGAAGATAACTATTGATTTTGACAAGTTATGGCGAGCTTTCAAGTTTCTCTATTACTGAGGAGCAGTTCATGCTTTCCCAAATCAGGATGATTTTCAAAGATCCGATCAAAATATGACCCTTTAAGTTTTCTGACATATAATTTGAAAATGTAGTTTCTATTTCCCTAACATAGTAGTGGCTTCAAAGAATATATGTTTAATTCTATAAACAATTCTAAATTATGGAATACATCATGATTTACCTGTTTACAAAATATTACGTAAAGAATAGTTAACCATTATGCAAGAAACAAAGAGCACCTTTGACCAATTTGGGCTGATAATAATAATACTATAATAATTGTTAAATAATCTAAAAATTCAAAACATATTTATAATAAAATTTTGAACCTCACAGTATGTCGCTTGTAACATTTTTTTTATGTATGACTCCTACAACCATGTACAGTTGTATCAAAATCCATTGAAGTCTAGTTAATTTTATGTAAAAAGTGATTTTTATACATTGTTTTCGCTTAGTATTAACGCGACAAACGTGTATTTGAAGTTTATGTATACATCCTACATAATACAAAAGTCACAACTTAGATGTTCTTGTCTCAAGAATCCAATAAATCGATCGCCTCCGTTTAGGAGTTGAACTTGGACGAGGTATCTGGTTCTGCAGGAAACGCTAACCAATAAGAGACAACTTCTTCATCTGGTTTACGTCACTGGAGGCTTTCTTTTTTGTGTGGAAAGAAATAAAATAAATCCACACCAACTAATTTCTGTCATTGGTAATAGCTTTTTCTTCGACAAATTAAGTCTACACCAAAAAAAAGTAACATAATTTTTACTTTGAAAATTATATATAATTCAGACTTCTGTTTAAAACAGTGTTCATCTATTTCACTATTAAATTTTCAGTTTAAAGTAGTAACTTTGTATACACCATTGTTTACTTATTCTGTCATCATCTCAGATATTAATGAGCTATTTAATCGTAATATAATTTTAAATTTGAAAAATTAAAACATGATACCATTAATTCACCTAATTTGTTTTTTTTTCGGTATAAAGCGCTTTTGTTCGTGTTTACTATGCATTTTGTAAGTGCATAAGTAATAGTTAATATTTTGGTTTATAAAATAGCTTAAAGCATTTATATTTTGCTAATTTAAGATCAATCTTTACAATGCGTTTTAGACCTTTA